GCACAAGAACGCACTAGCCGACCAGACTCTGATTGATTAGCGATCCAAACGACGCAAATACTGTTGCCTTCCCGGTTAGAGGCTAACCCTCCGGATATATGCGTTACTTTAGATAAAAAGGAATAGAATGAAAATATGTTCAAGCGGCTTGCCTTGTGAGATGCAGCAAGCAGCAGTACCCCTAATACAGGGACAACTATCTGAGGAAAAGTGCCCCGAATGATGGCCTTGTTGAATATGTGGAGTCGTTAAAATTGTGGTGGTCGAGAAAGCTAAACCAAATCGTGTAGGTTTATGCCGTAGGAAAAATCCAGACCCCTACCTTGCGTGTGCCTCAAGAATCCTGCTTGACAAGTTTAGTCGTATTCACTTTCTTATATATGGCATAATATTAGAGCATATAAACTCACCGAAAAATCTCCTTAGTAGAACCTAGTAATTGATCAAGTAGAGTTTTGTACATTAAGGCTGTGTTGAATAAAAGACAGAAGGCAGAAAGAAGGAAATAAAAGGAATTAAAGAATAGAATTGTACTTGTTTTTATATTATGTAATGTTTCTATGAAATGGCCTTTTCTACTATCATTTTCTTCGTTTCTTCCTCTTCTACAACATTTTGGCACTGATAGCTAACACCGTTTTTCTCTTAATTATTTGTTATAAATTAATCTCCTAATCAAGAATAATCAAGCTCCCTTGGGGAAAGTTTTTGGCTTGTTTCTTTGGGTTTTTTTTAATCTAGGATCATGGTTAAACCAATAACTGCAATAACCTGAAATAGACAGATAGGAAGTTTTAAGAAACAAAAGTTTTGTTGTCCTGGTTTCCAACTAGGTACGGGTGAGGGTTACGGTTTCATAAGTACAAGAAATCTAAGCAAGAGAGTCTTAGATTCTGTAAATCCAGGACCGGTGTCTTTTCTGTCATGAATATGTTCAAAATCAAATTAGGTTGCTTTAACCGTATTAATGAAACTTTTCCAAGTGATTAATGTTATGATTGTGAAGTAACGTAGACAGGCTTCCAAAGTAATTTCGCAATTCTTGCCACGACTTGAATGCTGACCAAATCACCATGTCCCTTTAATTTTTACAGGCAAAACCTTGTCACAAGCGGAATATCAAGATTCTTAAAACACTGCGGGCAACTTATTTGAATGGATACATCTCCAGTACAAATAAACCATCCCATATCCCAGAAAGAAATTGGACAGTGGTTCTTTGTCAGAAAATTTACAGAGCCAGCCAGCCCATCAAAAACATGCCCTAAGTATTTTGAAATTACATCCACCTTCCCAAATACCCTTTGCCATTCTCCTTTGGCAAAATTGATGCCTGCCTAGTGTTAAAGGGTTGAAACTTGAACTTGAAGCCCAAACCCAATAAAGGCCCTAGGCCATCACAACTTCATAGTTTCAGACTTTCAATGGTTCCCGCATCTCTTTGGTGGCCCCGCCGCCGTACTACACGTATTCTCTCAGTTCTTACCACCGGAAGTTTGCAGATTTGTAATTTGTTTAATTTATTTCGTTTTCCCTTTAATGGATTATAAAATAGAAATATCAATATCGTGATTATATATTTGGAACCAACCCATCATCACACATTCACCTTGATCTTGAAACACAAATTATATTATGTTACCTTCCCAAAAAAGGTCCACCACCAATGCAAGAAGTATGGAGAAGAAATGCCGTGCCCCTAAACCACAGTCGTCAGCCTATCATCATCAATTGCCTAAACCTCGATTTTTTATATACTAGAGCCAATTAAAACATTTGGCCAAAACCGAATATAAATTGATAAACATGCGAATTACAGAAGAGAAAGCCAATAATTTTTTTTCTCCAAATTATTTAATTTCGCTCGGCCCAGTCTTGATAAATAAACTGGTACCAAAAATAACCCCATCACAGAATTGGTGGGAAAAATAAAATCCTCACGTCGACCAGACATCGATAATACCTTTTAAAAAATAAAAAAAAAAAAGGAAAATCAATCCCAAACAACCACGTCCCGCCACCAATTCCTGCCTCATATTCTCCTCATTTACTCATAAGGTGGGTGCCACCCATCTCCGCCTCTTTCCAAAACCTCACCAATTTATGAATTTTCAAGACTTCGAGCATAACTCAAAATAGTTTACGTACTAAGTTCATTGTGAGAATTTGCATTGTAGTAACAATTAAATAGAAAAGCTCCGAGCCATTCTTGGAACCAAATGCAACATTTTTGTAATTTCTCTCTGCTCATAGGATTTAAAAAAAAAAAAAAAAAAAACTGTAATCTTCATTATCCTCGACCAAAATAATTAAACACAAATGCCTTCCGATATTAAAAAACGAATCCGGCCAGAGTGCAAGAAACTCGAAACCCTTAAAAGAATTAGGAGTCGTCGAAATTTTTATGTACCTTTAAAAAACCACGTCAAGCGCAAATGTTTAGCCTCTGCACATTACAGTACATCAAGCTCCACGTAATAAACTCACGCACTATACGAGATAGATAGATGGATAAATCGCCGATCACTTCCTCTACACTGAATCCTGATCCTGGGTCTTTCTAAAAATAAAAATTTGGAGAAAGGAGGATTTCTATTTCGAAGTCATTATTTATAAATTTTTAAATTTATATTTAATTATTTTTAGTCAGTAGAAGTAGTAGTCACATTACAATTTGTTATTATAATATTGTATATCCTTTCTTTCTCTTACTCTGGTGATTAGCAGTTAGAGTAGAGAAAATTAAAATAAGAAGAGAGAAAGCGCTCTTCGTTCGAATTAGAATTCTCTGTTCCTTGTCTTCTCTCTGCAATTTCGATCTCTTTCTATTAATTCTCTATGGTTTATGGTTCTTTTAGTCGGAATCTCTCTTCTTTGTTTTCCGTTTAACTGGTTTCTAATTTAATTGTTTCCTGTATTTGTTGAGGGCAAATTAAAAAACCCTCTCTTGTTATAATCGTTTCGATTTGTCTATGCTTCCGGAATTGCCCATCTTGCAATTAGGAAGTTTTACGGGTGTTTTTGGAATTGGAGTTCCATTTGTAATTAAGAAGGGGGTTCAGAAGGTTGAAATTTGGATTCTAGTTGCCTAAAAGATTGATTCATGAGGGTGATTTTTTTTCTGTTAGTTTTCTGGTTATATATATTAGTTTAACGAGAATAGATTATCAGCGCAACCTGAAATCCCAAATGCCGAAGTCATTATTAAACCGGTACAAGCTTGGCGACTCGGCGGGAGAAGACGACGATAGGCTCGGCTTCGGCTCGGAAGAAGCGGAAAATTAATGAATTATTACCCTCTCAATCTTCTCGGGACCAGGTGGCTGGCCGACATATAATTCCCCCGTTGGACTTCGTGGGATCCTCCCCGCAACTCCAAGGTTGGACTCTGGACATTATGGGAATTTGCCTGCTTCTTGTAAACACCCGAGGTTTGTCCTGCCTCCCCTCTCGGAGAGGGTGGAGTCGCAGCCTAAATCTAAGGGTCGAGATTACAATTAGAGCAAATACGTACATGTGGAAGTCTCGCGTCCCCCACTCGTGCGGAACGTCCAGAGGAGCAGGGTTTCCAGGTACTCCTTCAAGTTTAATGATTCAGTTATTGAGAACTGGAGGAAAGAGGGAGTAAGGACTAGCCCTTGCGGCGATTGTGATATGATGAACGATAATTTTATGTGAATAACATAGAGTGCTAGTAGGAAGGAATAGAGAGAAGAGACCAAATATTCAAGTTTTCGAACACCAAACATGTACTAGCATAATGAAGAAACAGAAAATTGGGCAGAGAATTGGATGTAGGTCTCTAAAATATGCCACAATTGTGTGGAGGAAGAAGATGGCGGAGAAAATGGGGTTTTAAGAAGTATTTGAGTTCACAAGCCAAAGTAACCTCACTTCAATTACATGAGCAATTGGAGGAAAGATGCTAAGTGTGCAGTTATGGACTAAGACAGCTTGGAGAGGCCAGAGAGGAAAAGAAGGATTGTATGGACCGGAAGGATTTCTATTCGGGTGATATAGATGGGCAAAGTCGGGGGAGAAGGACGCATTTTGGCCAGCCCATTGTGATTGATCCAAATGACCAATGCACCAGAGCTGGTTTTTGAGGTCCGTGCATACCCTGAATGCGGCTTGTGTTTTGTTTTTTTTGGTCACACTGGGAATGAGAATCAAAAGGGTATTAATAATAGTTATTTCCTGTAATAAGCGAGCTTCTCAATATCATTTTTGTGAAGCTTGTGTTGAAAGCTTTTACTTTTGAAGGATGTGAACATTAATTATGCTTCATTGACCTGGTTCTGACCAGGGATTTTGCTTGGATTAGAAGGGGGATGATCTTTCCGTTTATGGTTTTGGCAGACAGGGTGGTGTTTCTTATTATTGAGTTTGTTTACATGGGATCCAGTTTTTTTTTTTTGAAGCAAGGTCTTTTTTCTTATGTAGGTTCAGGAGCAGTCCTGAATTGGATGGACTGTAATCCTGCGATTTCCAGATGTCCAAGTTAAGGAGGCATTTCCTGGCAGAACAGGGATTTACAGAGAAATTGTTACAGGATATAAACATCGGCCAGCTGGGAATACCAAATGTATGATGAATCTAATTTAGTAGTGGCTTCAAAGAAGCAACGGGTTCGAAATCAAGATCAGGATTGCCAGTCTCTCAAACAAGCAAGTCATTTTTCTCGAGTTTACTTTTTCTCCAAATCAATGTTTTTTCTTAATCCCTCATACCCACCCCTAGATGGTAGACGACTACATGAAAAACTAATCACTCTGTCCTTCCAGCTGATGAATGTGAATGACATTTATAAGTTAGTATTGAGAACTCAAGAATTGCATGGGCCATAATGTCTGGTTGATTTTAAAAGTAAAACTGACAGACAGCAAATAATCTTAGTCCGCATCTTGATTTGTGTCATTAATGTCTTGACAATATTGAAGTTACTTACTTCTACCAAACTTGTCCAACTTACGATTTGTGCTTATTGTTGTCTAATGAAGATTAAGATAATGTAAAAGAGGGATTGGTAAAGGTTCCCGTGTCAATATTCTGCCAATAACATGAATTCTTTGTATCTTTTAATTTTTCTGTTATTGAATATGGGTGGTAATAGCCGATTTTGGGAGCGCAACCCGAGGAAGAACTCCTGGCCATAGGCCAAAGAATACCCCACATTTTTGAACACTACTTTCTTCTTATTTTTCCTGAAAATTTAAAACCCATTTATAAGGACAACTGAAGTTTCTCAGCTTCTGTTTTTAAACATTAAGCACGGAACCTATAAAAGCTGCATGCCTGCAATCTCTCTCATCTTTTCCCCCTTTATTTTCCTTTTTGAGCATGCCCCCTAAATTCTTTCTAATTTTGGTGTTTTCAATTAGTTTGGGAGCTGAGTGACAAGGCTCAACTCAACTTAAAACTGGTACTCGATATATAAAAAAAATGCAAAACATTAAGCCATTTTGTATCAGAATTCTACCAGGGGAATTATATGACAAAATGAAGCAAATAAAGGCATTCACAATTCTGCTCACCTTCCCTATATCTGAAACTTAATCAAAAAATATCTTGAGAGTTATTATCTGGTTCAGGATAAACTTTAGGGAATCAGTAAAAACCATGAGCAGTACCAAACATAAAAGTGCTGATAGGATTAGTAAATGGCTAAAAGCAGAGGCCTAGCCCACTTATTAAAATTGTCAAAAGGAAGATGAAGGTACATAAATCAACCCTCCTGGAGGCACCCAATTCTTATGACAAAACATGATAACTAAAGGAGTTGGATGCCAACTTATGCTTAAGGCCTTGGGAAATTTACAATGCATTAAGTTTTGAGTACCACTAAGTGGATTTATAAAGTCTGTGTTACATTTTGTAGTATCTCAATAATGTGCAAAATTGTCACAAGTCAGTTAACAAAGTATCAAAACATAATATTTGTGAAGTTAATAAATGACAAAGAAGATATATGGATCATAATCAGACAGATGAGGAGACTGGGTTGAGGCAAAACTACTAAGTTATTCCTATAAATGACAACACAAATAGAAACCCCCACCCCACACCCCCAAAACACCCCAATTCCTCCTTCTTCCTCTTAAATTTTTTTTCTTTTTGTACCGACACAATCCTAATCATTTTTGATTTAACTTTCTATGGGAATCTGACTAATGCAATTATGTTGGCAGCAATGACGATGGCTGTAAAAGTTTGGGTAACAATGCAAGATAGGTAACAAAATACAAACAACCGTTTTAAAGGTATGTACCAACAATAATAAATAAATTTTGATAACTTATACATATAACACCTAACTGCCATAAAAATAAGAAGTTTCCACAATCCCAACCATTTGTATATGCTTGAAGGATCATGGAGGGCACTGAATATAATCTAGACACTTAGTTGCAAAAGCAAAAATTTATAACTTGAACTGTACTGCATTCAGTAGAAAAGGGAGCCAAAAATCCAAGAGATAAGCTGGTGTCTTATTATTTTAATATATTTTTCAGAAGAGCATGGAATTGGTAAATCGCCACGTAAATCATTTAATTTAATGGATTATAATCAATAATGTATCAAAATGTAATTACAGAATTGACAAAAAAGAATAATTGGACAAACTACACTTAAGCACAAAACAAAAAGATTAAACACAACAGTGCCTGCCTACTATGAGGGTAAAGAAGGCATATAATTTTCCCCAAAGCCTATAAAACACTGTAAGTAAAATAATATAGACTTTACAGTGCAAACAACTTTTGTTTACTTTAACATTAAGCTCAATTTATCTTAAATAAAATATAGTCCAATTAACCATAATGGCACTAATGCTTACCAGGTTAAAAATAACAAGTTATGTAAGCTTATTAATTAGCTTACCAAAATCCCCCAAACAACCCCTTCTCCTTCTTCCTCTTTTTTTTTTCTTTTGTACCCAACATCCCTCCTTTTGATTTACTTTCTGGGATCTGCTTGCAATTAGGTGCGCTGCGATGGCTGTAAAGTTTGGGTACATGCTGAGTGTGACAAAATTTCAAACAACCGTTTTAAGGTATGTCCATCATAATAATAATTTTGTATTATCATTCCTCTGCATAAATAGAAGTTTCCAACTCCCACCATTTTGTTATGCTTGAAGGATCTGGAGGGCACTGATTATTACTGCCCTAGTTGCAAAGCAAAATTTAACTTTGAACTGTCTGATTCAGAGAAAGGGCAGCCAAAATCCAAGTAAGCTGGTTCTTTTATTTTATATATTTTTCAGAAGCATGGAATTGGTAAATCGCCGTTCTTATTTAATGGATTTATATCATATGGTTCAAATGTTTACAGATTGAACAAAAGTAATGGACAACTAACACTGCCAAACAAAGTTACCGTTGTCTGCTCAGGGGTAGAAGGCATATATTTCCCAAGCCTTCACCTGTAAGTAAAAATATAACTTTACAGTGCACACACTTTTGTTTACTTTACATTTACTCATTTCTTAAATTAAATAGTCAATTACCTATGGCACTCTGCTTCCAGGTTAAAATAACAGTTTGTAGCTTATTAATTAGCTTACCACATGCAAACAATTTATCTGACTGCTAGGAAGAAATTATTGTTGTATTCTGTTAATTATAATAAATGGGACCTTGATACAAATTAATTGTTTCATGATTTTCTTTCTCATGTATATGAACTAAGTAAGAGAAACCTGTTTTATTTTTCAATAATTTATGCAGATGACCAACCTTTAGAGATTAGCAAGAGTTTTATTTGTGCAAATAGTTTCAGCCATTAACTTTATTGATCTGGGAAATCTTCTTTGCCCTTGACAACTGAAAGTTTCTGTTTCAGTTCATTGATGTTTATCTTTTCTCTTTGGTTCAAAGGGTTGTGTGCAAATGTGGGTCTTGTGGCCTAGAAAAGCAAGCGCTTAGTGAATGGGAACGGCATACAGGTTCCAAAATTAAAAATTGGAGGACCAGTATTAGGGTGAAAGGTTCTATGCTGCCACTAGAACAATGGGTTTGTCCATCATCGCCTTTTTCATAGGTGCACTATTCACATGTGAAGTTCATTTTTCCAATATGTTCTCTTTTTCACTGTGCAGATGATGCAGTTAGCAGAGAATCATGCACGTTCTGTTTCTACCAAACCTCCAAAGCGCCCTTCCATTAAGGAGAGAAAGCAGAAGTTGCTTGCATTTTTACAGGGTATATTTCTTTTTCAGGAACGGAATACTACTATCTAATCATCATGTTGTCCTCTGCTGCACTATCTTAATTTCTCGCACTGTTTAATCAACTGATTGTCATTACTTTCATGGCAGAGAAATACGAACCTGTTTATGCAAAGTGGACAACAGAACGTTGTGCTGTATGTAGATGGGTTGAAGATTGGGACTACAACAAAATTATCATCTGCAACAGGTAATGCAAGTACTGTCCATAGGGATTATCTTTTATCAACTAATTAGTCTAAGATTTATCACTATGAAACAGGTATTATGTGCATCTATTCCATTGCTTGTTGTAAAAGGTCCCGAGATCAGACATATTTTGATGCTTAGGAAAAATCTATTGACATTTAAAGCAACTAATTGACCCAACTCTAAAAGACTCAAAGACAGATTAATTGGAATGCTCAAATATACTGTTTAACAAGTCAGAAAGCTATAGTCATACATACTGCATATATATTTACTTTCTGCCATGTATTCAAATGGTGTAAGCCTCAAAGAAATGCCCTTGTAATTGCCTGCTCTTTGTAATACTTGTGTAGTGTAGTCTACTAAATGAACTCACGGTAAAAAGTAAATAGAGAGACCTGTTGCTCATTCTTCTTGCTCTCTTTCTCTCCTGATGCAGGATTTTGTTTTTTTAATTCTTTTTGGGATGGAGATTTATTTGTTGTACAATATGGCTGATCTCTTATCTGCTTCCCAGGTGTCAGATAGCTGTTCATCAAGAATGCTATGGAGCAAGGAATGTGCAGGACTTCACTTCCTGGGTTTGCAAGGCATGTGAAACACCTGATGTTAAGCGGGAGTGTTGCCTTTGTCCAGTAAAAGGTTGGCTAACTTTTTTGTTTACATTCACTAATAATTTGGGGTATATAGATATTGAAGTTCTTAGTTTGAAGAGAATATATGTGCATATTTGCCTATTTTTTTGTCAAATGTACTTTACTACCAAGCATGGATATTTATAAAACTGTCCACAGCTGGTTTTCACATTTGCTGTTTGTTGTCATCATAGATGATTTTGTGAATTTTTGTTAGGTGGTGCTCTAAAGCCGACTGATGTTGAGACATTATGGGTTCATGTTACCTGTGCTTGGTTTCAACCTGAAGTCTCCTTTGCAAGTGATGAAAAGATGGAACCTGCTGTTGGAATCTTAAGTATCCCTTCAAATGCTTTTGTAAAGGTACAAATGATTTAGAATTCACCGCATCACTATCAGTTGATGTGCCTTTAATTTCCCTCTCTTCTCTTCTTAAAATGCATTCTTGTGGGTTAATAACTCTTTGGCATTTGATGAGAAAGTATTATGGGATCTAAATATGTTTTTTTGCCATGAACTTCAGATTTGTGTTATTTGTAAGCAAATTCATGGTTCCTGCACTCAATGTTCCAAGTGTTCCACTTATTACCATGCAATGTGTGCTTCAAGGGCAGGGTATCGCATGGAGGTGAGTTTCTCGATTGTTGTCTATTTGCAAAACCTTTCGCTATTGCTATTTTGCCTTAGGCATATAAAAAAACACACTATTTGTATTCTTGGAGAATATACTATGTCATGTGGACTGCTTTCTATTGTAGATCTTTCTTGCCAATTTCTTATTCTGTTAGTTGTACTTTCTGATATGCAGTTGCATTGCTTGGAGAAAAATGGGAGACAGACTACGAAAATGGTTTCATATTGTGCGTATCACAGGTACAGCATCCTCATCTGTGATAATAAAGCTAATTGACATTCCCTCTCAGTTATAGCTTTACTTGGTTTATTGTCTCTAGTGACTATATTTCTCAAGAAACATAAGATAATAAATCTCTCTGGATATTCAGTCTTCAAATTCTATTTCTGGTGCAGAGCTCCAAATCCAGATACAGTTTTGATCATACAGACTCCTCTAGGGGTTTTTTCTGCCAAAAGCCTTATTCAAAATAAGAAGAGGGCTGGTACAAGGTTAATTTCATCCAATAGAGTGAAACTGGAAGAGTTGCCAACAGAAGAAACTACTGAGGTTGAGCCCCTCTCTGCTGCAAGATGTCGGGTCTTTAAAAGAGTAAACAACAATAAGAAGGTAACCTACACGAGAGTTTACAGTCTGGTTAACAGTGTGTTAATAAATTGTGTGTGGGTTTTTGTTATGCTGATCAATGCTGAGCAACTATGTAACTGATCTCTTTAATGGTTCATATTATGTAATCCATTTACATTATCTAATGATGGACGTGTGAGTTTTTCTGCAGTTACTTTCTTTACTTCTCCAAATCATTACTACCTAAAAAGTTCTCGGCTGTTAATTAAACTCACCCCTCCTTTTTTATTTTTTTCAATTTAATAGAGAACAGAAGAAGAAGCAATTGCCCACCGATTAATGCGACCTTGTCATCATCCTTTAGATGTAATACGAAGTTTCAATGCATTCAGAGTAAGTTTCTTTTTACTTCTTTGTGGAATTCTTACCTTTTTTGCTTTTTATTTGGAAAGCATAACCAATCTTGGGGCAACATTCTTGGTCTTGTTATTTTGACAGGTAGTTGAGGAACCTAAAAGTTTTTCTTCATTCAGGGAAAGGCTTTACCACTTGCAGGCAAAATCTTCATCCTTTGTTTTTTTCTTATTGACTGTAACTTCTATTTATCCTTCTAACTATTTACCTGGTTTGAACTTGAGCCCAGAGAACGGAAAATGATCGTGTTTGCTTTGGTAGATCTGGGATACATGGATGGGGCCTTTTTGCTCGTAGAAACATTCAAGAAGGAGAAATGGTATATGTTGTTTCTGTCAAAAATCAAAACAGGCTTGTTTAAAGTAGCTTTTCTGATGGAAAAATGCCCTATGCAATGGTGATATGTGCTGACATTTTGTGCTTAATCAAAAGGACGTGTTTGCGACTCTTTCCAATGAGATATCCTTGAAATTTTTGATATGTTAGAAATGTATTACTTATGCAAAATGAATGTGAACTGCACTTATGTGTTTGCATATGCACTGACATTCCAATGTCTTATTTCATGGAAATGTGTCTGTCTCTGTGTGTGTGTTTGTTTTATTAACAAACATGCGGTTGTCTCCAGGTCCTTGAATATCGTGGTGAACAGGTAAGGCGCAGCATAGCAGATCTTAGGGAGGCACGCTACCGGTCAGAAGGGAAAGACTGCTATGTGAGTTTTTCTATCATTTACTCCTTTATAATGTGCAAGTGGTTCTAGTTAAGTGCAACATGGCAGTAGTTGTTCAGATGCTTAGGGAAATGTGAGTTGGATATAGACAGTTCTTCTGTTGAACAATATTGAGGCTGTGTCTCTTAGCCGAAGTTACTATCATCCGATAGCTTTTTTCCATTTGAGGACTAATCTGTGATCTGGTTTTCTTCTGCAGCTTTTCAAGATAAGTGAAGAGGTAGTGGTAGACGCCACTGACAAAGGAAACATCGCACGCCTAATAAACCATTCAGTGAGTGTCTCTTATCTAACTTGTGACTTGTTATATTTTCCCCCTTCTATTTGGAGCTCGATTTTTTTCTCTCCTGCAGTCAGCCATGCACATATAGTTTGAAGGACAAAGTTGTCATCTTTTTTATAAATCTTGTATTGGTTTTACTCGTTTCCTCAGCATGATATCCTTAAATTCAACTTTGCTACAGTGTATGCCAAATTGCTATGCCAGGATCATGAGTGTGGGTGACGATGAAAGTCGTATTGTCCTTATTGCTAAGACTAACGTACTTGCCGGTGATGAGCTAACGTACTTCTCTCTCCCTATGAAAACTTCAGTGTTTAACATGCTTTTCACTCTTAAATTCACTGTTGCTACTCATTTCTGGCAGGTATGATTACCTATTTGATCCTGATGAGCCCGATGAATTCAAAGTTCCCTGTTTATGTAAAGCTCCAAACTGTCGGAAATTCATGAATTAGGTTACACTTACAGCACAGTTATTGTTTCTCCGCAAGGAGCACTAACCCAATCCCCACCCTGCCTATGGGATCTCACAGTCACACAGGAGTTGTAATTTTTTACCAAAAGGAAAAAAGAAAAATTTTTTTTAGTCCTTTTGATAACAATCTTTTGTTCTTTGAGCTTAATAAAATGTTATAGGTTTTTCCTGCTTTTTTTTGGTTCAGGCATTTGTGTAAATATGTGTATTCAGAGCTTAATTAAATGCGAACCATTCTGAATTTTATTTTTCCATTAGAATACGTTATAGCTTTTCCTGTTTTTCTCCACCCCGGAAACGAAGTCGACAAGCATTTGCATGTGACAATAGCAGAGTGAAATTTTATTTATTTAAGGGAAGAAACATCAAATTTAATATCAGCTAATAAGTAGAGAATAAAGAGAAGAATTTATAATTCTGAAGTAGAAAATAATTCCATCCTGACAATTCAAATACAAAATGGCAATGTAGAGGGGAAAAAAGAGAATCGCAAAAAAAAAAAGAAGAAGAAGAATTACAACCTAATAAACTGAAACTCAACCTAAACCAATGCAAAATGAAGCTTCTGTTCAACTCTAAAAGACCATATCTGAACAGCGTCTCCTTCTTTTAGATTATTTCTATCTCTAACAGAATTCCAATTAGCTGTTAACACATACTCTGAGCTAACGTAACCATCTTTCTTTTTCATATTCACTTGCGCGAAATTCATGTCACTCACATCCAAAGAAGACGAAGGCTCAATAGTCTTCACTGGTATACGTGTTTTACCCTTTCTAATCCTTCCCTTCTCTTCTTTTGTCAAAAATTCACATAGGGTTTGTCGTTTTGGAATCCACAAACGACAATGGGACGAAGACGAAGGCTCAATAATCTTCACTGGTATATGTGTTTTACCCTTTCTAATCATTTCCTTCTCTTCTTTTGTCAAAAACTCACATGGGGTTCGTCGTTTGGAATCGACAAACGACAATGGGCCGTGCTCGCGTCGGCTGCAGTCAAATGTTTATACATCATTAATGCCTCATCGGTACCTTCCATTTCAGCAATCTTGTTTTCGAATTGTTGGGGTAGCTCCTCTTTCTTCTGTTTTCCTTCCAAAATAGCACGTTCTAAAGCATGGCGCTCGGGAAAGTCGGTCAAGTTATAGAAAAAATTGACTGTTGATCCGAATTTTTCATGATTAAAGCGCCAACCAGAATCATTGCCCTCTGAACTTGATGAACAGTAACAACCCATGATTTCTCTTCAGTAATTTAGAAACGAAGTTACAGATAGATGGGTCCTTTTATTGAGAGAGAGGCAGGTATATGTATTGGTATATGTATATTCCTTGCTCTAAGAGGAGTAGGTTTTCGTGTTTGTTAAGATTTACTAATTAGAAACAGCTTTATTTGAGTCTTGTTTTCCGAAATCAATTTGGAGAACCATATCTAATTCGAGTCTTGCAAGGACGTAATTACACTCTAATTTAACTTTTTGACAACTATGCCCTAAAATTGAAATGTCAAGAGTTTTTATACCCAAAATTCAAATTAGGTTATGATTTATATTAAAAAAAATAATAATACATGTGGAGCTCACATATGAACTTGGGCTTGGGTTAACACAAGCTCAGTTAAACTTACCAAACGATGCAGTTTCATAGAATAATCAATTATCTAAAAGTCAAGCAGCCAAGGGAGGATTGCTGATACTTTCAAGTTGAAGAACTGCAAACGACATGTTCGTCAAATTAATTTATTTCATTGGTGGCCATACTGAAGGATATATCGAGAAGTCCTAATCAAAATTTCAATTCTGATTTTGTTCTTGAAAATTAAAAATTCTATTTTTAGATAAATAAAATACACAGGAAGTGAGAGTTCAGACATTCTTGTACGGCGGCAAAGATCCTCTTCCCAATTCCCCGTATCGATGAGAGAGAGAGGGAAAAGAACACTGGAAGTGAATAGCCAATCATTGATCGGGAAACTCAAGTTGTCCCTCCATTTCCGTCTTTCGATGTAAAAATTAGAATCCCCAACAGGACCTATAATAAGGGAGGGGGCGTGAATTTCACACATGCAATCCCATAAGATCTCAGTTTAGCGAGAGGTAGGTACACATTTTAAGATTTTATTACTGCTTAGAACAAAATGTTACTAAGCGACTCAAACCTATGAAATTTATGTGCAGGTGCTGAGTACATGATTGTTTGTGTTTGTGCGTGTGTGTACGTAAAAACTAAAATGTACAATGCAAAATCCTAGGAAATTATTCATTGCCAGGAAATTCTCTCTCTCTCTCTCTCTCTCTCTCTATATAATTGCGTCTCTCTCTCTATCCTCTCTCTCTCTATATATAATATCTCTAAATATATACATATATATATATATATATGTGTGTGTGTGTGTGTGAGTCGTGTGTGTTGTGTGTGTGTGTGTTATATACCTGACCACTACTAAGGACAGATGTCAATTATGAGACCATGGAAGCAGAGAATGCACACAAGAGCAACTACATTCGGACAGTAAAAGAAGAGAATGCAAGATAATTTGATAGGGGCCTGACGAGCCCCCTATTCCAGGTGGACTACAAAAGACCAGACTCTTCCTTTTTATTCCTTGCAAAAAAAAAAAAAAAAAAATTTAAAAAAAAAAAAAAGGAGGCAAAGGCAAACAAAGGAATAATCTTTAATACCCTTAAAAATACTTGTCATTGAGAGAGTACAAGAACATCGGATTATAGAAATGTTGTCCTCAATGTGTACTTTCACGGTAGAATGACTGTATTCCGTTAACTTAAAGATTACTTCGACTCAGACTCATTTGACCCAGGCATCAATATCCCATTATGATGCCTTTGGGGGGAACCCTCCAAAATAAACTCAAAGGACCATCATTTTTGCATCACCATTAACCTGTGCCCACGTACCTCAGACACAGGATTTAATAAGTAATTAAACTACCCTCAATTTTGGTCTTGCCCACTCTCAATCCATGTCATGGGCCTCATTGGCCATCAGTGTGGTAAATATTCAGTAGCATTTGGCACATCATTGGCGAGTTGAAACAAAATCTCCTTGATCTTCTGAATCACCTAGCTAGATCCATTACCTTATCATCCTCTTGAGAATCATCAAGGGTGCTTATCTGATATATCATGGGTAAGATCTCATGCAGCGATTTCCAACTTTCAGCGTCAGGGCTACAAGCATGGACCATCCTCAATAAAAAAAAAAAAAAAAAAAAAAAAAAAAAAAAAAAAGGAGGCAAAGCAACAAAAATAACTAAACCAAAAACGCATTGAAGATAAAGAACATCGATATAGAAATTGTCTCAATGTGTACTTTCAGGAGAATGATGTATCCGACTTAAAATTACCGACTCAGACTCATTTGACCCAGGCATCAAATCCCTAGATGCCTTGGGGGAACCCTCCAAAATAAATAAAGGACCACATTTTGCATCACCAAACCCCTGCCCCTCCTCAGCACAATTAAAAGAATAACTACCTTTGGTCTTGCCACTCTCATCCATGTCATGGCCATCATGGCCATCAGTGTGTAAATCTTCAGTAGCATTTGGCACATCATTGGGAGTTGAAACAAAATCTCCCTTTGGATCTTCTGAATCCACCAGCTTAGATCCAGCTACCTTATCACCTCTGAGAATCATCAAGGGCTTTTCTGATATATCATGGGTAAGATCTTCATGCAGCGATTCCAACTTCAGGTCAGGGCTACAAGCATGACCATCTACCTCCTGGTTGAGAATCACTTCTGAATTCTCCTGCACATCACCAATTAAAACATCTTCCACTTTATTCTCATCTAAATTCAACATCTGCACATCTAATATTTCTTCTTTCTGATTTAAAAGTGGCTGTTCTGCTATGTCCACATCATTAACAGGGACTTCCTCTACTTTTGATGCTGAAATAACATCTATTGTTCCACCATTAGCAATTGCCATACGACTCAAACCTGCTCTTTGTCTCTTGTAGATGTCCATTGCTCTCTGCAGGCAACAAATCAGAATGTCAGACTACATAATTCAAAACAAAACCATCCCAGGAAAGTGATTGAGAAAATAATTCCAAACAAATAAAATCAAGTGCCAAGCTAAGTCTAAACCAGGGATAGAAAAACACCGACAGTGTAAGCACCAAATGCTATGCCAGAATAGAAAACCAAGAAGCTTTTTTCAACCACAATTTGTCCTAAATGTATCCGACTATTGCAGTCATAAATCACCTTCGATCAATGGAGAACAAGACAACTTTATTCCAATGACTGAAAAGTGCATATATGTTGCCAAACCCCCCAAGTCAGATAATTAATTTCTACGCATATACATATTTGTACATAGTAAAGGTTTATATACACAACCTGCCAAACAAGAGCAGAAAAATTGTACATGCCATATCATTCTCCTCTCTGAAGTTAACTAAGAATAATATCCTAATAGATTTCTTGAAGCAAAAATTGTACATAAAGAGTTCATTTCATCTCCAGCCTTTCAAAAAGACAAATTAAACTACAAGTCATTTAATATATCATAGTCCATGATGAATACCTGAAAAACAGAATCACTTGTAGCAGGGAAAAGTGATGAACTCAACAAGGTATTTGAACTTTTTGGTACTGCTCTTGCACCATCCTGCCACATTGAAAATAATTTAAAATAATTATAGAACAGCACAAAAATAAGAGATCAAGGAAGCTAGAAAGAATGTAAGAAACATCTCATATACTCTACCTTCAAGTTTACAAGCATGGCAACATCTTCATCAATAGTATCACTTGGTTCTTCATCAAGCAAGCTTATAAACTGACCATACAATTCTGGATCAGTAAGTTCAGTTGAAATATCCAGATTGGAAAGGTAAGCACGGTAAACATGAGCAATATTGTCATTACTAGACAATTTAGAAGACGGCTCAGGTGTCTGCTCAGGGGTAGGTTTAGGTGATGACTTAAAAGATAATTTTGCTGCTGAAGCAACAACTAGCTTTGTTTCTGCAGTTTTAGCCTGAACCCCAAGATGATTATCTTCACTTTGTGGCCTTTGACCCTCATGCCTAGCTGAAAGATCTTCCACAGGGGTCTGTGGTGGAAAGTCCTCTTTCAGGGATGTTGAGAACAAATCCACATTCACATCACCATTTTGCCCTTTCCAAATGTCTGCACCACTCTCCCACCCTCGACCATTAATTGGATGCCTATTTTGGTCCCATTCTGGGCCCCCATACATGTGTGATTCATCCCTAAATACACCATTATTTCCATCCCATCCATGCATGCGAGAAGGCCCTGTCCCATCCATCATGTTCTGCCATCCAAGGGGGCGCAGATGACTAGAAAACCTGTCAGCTTCAGGTATATGATAAGGAATCCCAGAGTGGTTGATTTCCATCGAGGGTCTGACTCCAAACAGAGGAGGGGATGCAAATGGAGGCATCATCGCTTGAAAACCTCCATGAGGCGGCCCATGTTGGAAAGGAATGTAGCCATTTGGCACAGGTGAAGACCAGTTTGGAGCACCTCTCCAAGCATTTCCTTGCCCTCGCCCCAAATTGGGATCACTGCCCCTCTTGTAGCGGACACCAGTGTTAGTTCTACCGTCTTCCTCCAGTGAACCCAAAAAAGAAGGGCTGCCATGGCCACCCCTGAAGCCAGATGGTGGAGGAATCAGAGCAGAGTTGCTTTGACTATTTCTAGTGTAAAAGGGCGAATCAAGCGCGGTTGATTCATCAGCTAGAGACTTCTCCGAAGGTAAATCACGACTTGGCCTTTCATCGGCAGAAGGTAAATCTCTTGCACCCATGGAACCACTGCTCCTCCTTCCTGATTCCTCAATATCAAGACTTCTTCTAACTCCAGATCTATTAATGTATCTACGCTCCAGACTCGACGATGAAGGAGATCTCTCCACCAGGCCCATGGGCGAAGCTTTAGAACTTGAAGATCTTTCAACTGATAACTCCCCAGTATGCCCATCATCCACTTTAGTGGACTTCTCAGAGGATCTGTACTTGGAAGCTCTATCTGATGCTCCTGGCAAACTACCAACCTCTCTAGACGAAATGGATTTTGACCTGTGTTCTATCACAGCATCTCTGTTCTTCAGTTCTTCTTGTTTGAATTGCCTGAGCCATAAATATATTATATATTATATATAAAAAGAAAAAAGAAAAAAAAAAAAAAGCACACCATCACTATATGGTTCTACAGGAAAGTTACACGATTCAATCGCATTGCCTTTAAGTTGCCATTCTAGTTTTCAATCCATGGAGTACAGTACCACATAACAATGCATACTCACAGCAAAATTAATGTTCTGCATTGGATCAGTGTAGTTCCTAGACTCAGTACTTTAGACAAAATAATTCTGAATTGAATATGCTAAATTTTGTACAACATAAATTTCCATTGTGTTCCATATGGGGGACAGATGGCAGAGAACATTCAGAGTTTACCATGTGAATCCTAGAAACTCAGAGCCATCTACAAATACACAGCTATTATTTGGGCTTGTCCTGATAAATGTGCAAATAAAAATACTTGTGGACAATCTTGTACTCAGAAAGGCAAACACTTAAGTAGATAAGCACATAAAAGAAACCTAAGTGAAGGCACAGTTGTGTAGTCTTTTTAATAACTCTAATAATAACAAATATACATATTACAGAAAGTACATACAGATATTGACATCAACGAGAAGCACACTATGATACTGAATGCAAACAGCTATGCTTGTTAATTGTAAACTTTGCTCCTAAATTGTATTCAAATTGTAAACAATACGATAATAATATCCTCGAGAAAAACTAATAAGCTGATATTAAAAATAATAAAGTGTTCCCACTTCCTTTAAAAATTTGAAAATGCAGATACCTGTACTCATCTGCAGCCACAAGCGAGCTGGTGTTTGGGGAAGCCCTTCTCCTGTTGCTGCTGGCATTATTATCTGGATGAGTTTGGCGTGATTGAGACCTTCCTCTGTCAGTATCAGACTCAACTCTACTATTGCCCAAAGATTTCTTTTCCACGTCAATATAAGCTGTTTTAACACTTCTAGATTTTGCATCATTATAATCATCAAGATCATCAGGTGATCTCTTCCTTCCCCTGCTATCTCTGTATCTAGCACTTCGGTCATCAATATGCACCCCATCGTAGTCAGTATGTCTGTCCCGATCATGATCTCTATCTCGGTCCCGGTCACGGTCTCTATCCCTGTCACGGTCTCGGTCTCGGTCATGCTCTCTTTCCCGATCCCAATCCCAATCACGATCATGATCACGGTCCCGATCCCTCTCACGGTCCCGATCTCTGTCACGGTCCCGATCTCGATCTCTGTCATGGTCCCGATCTCGATCTCTGTCACGTTGATAAGTTTCCCGATCAAAATCACGATCATGATCATGCTCTCTCTCACGATCAGCATCTTGAGTCTTATATTTCTTCGGCCTAAATTCTACAGTATCTTTATCATCCCTCAAGTGCCTATCATCAGACCTGTTGTTTATGTTATCTCTTGCTGCATGCTCATCTCTTTGCTTGTCATCTCGGTGCCTGTTTTCCCTGTCGACATCTTCACGGTACTTATCTCTGTATCTCTCGTCCTTGTGCTTCTCATCTTTTGGTCTCCCATCCTTGACAACATCTTCCCTTGAGGATAAGCGTCTGTCATTGATATCTGCAATATCCTCGTGATGCTTATCATCACCAGAACCATCTCGTTTTTTTCTAATTCTCCTATCCGGAAGGTTCTCTAATTCAGGACTCTGCAATGGATCACGTGCATTCAACTCTGCATCAAAGAGAAAATTTTAAAATGAGAACTCAGCAAAAATAAATGTGAAAAGGGAATGGGGAACAAGGAAACAGTAACAAACATTTCCAACACTCAAGCATGCAATGAAAATCAAGCATTTGTTATATAATCCAGATGCTATTTATTTGACTTTTCCTATCTCTAACTGCAAGAACTGCAAAAATACATGCAGCAACATCCAATGCATATGAACCCCATTTATTGGTGAACATGACTAGGGTAGGAAACCCATATTCAAGAAGATCCGAAACAATTAAGATCCACTAACAGTTTGCAGTTAATTCAAAACAAAAGAGAACGAAAGAATATCTTCCAGCTAGTACTTCATAAAATATTAACAAGGTCTCTTGACTAACAATTTGCCAATAAAATACTACGCACATATAGTGGGGGACATCTACATAAACACAGAATTGCCCTGGGACATCCTGATCAGGTTGCTAGACATATAGGTAACTTAAGAAAGTCGTACGAAACTCCAACTGATTAGCAACAATCACGGATTGTCTACTTTTATTTAATTTGTCTTGTTAAGAACATTAAAAAGAAAGCTGAGCTTCCAATTACACAAGACCCACATTACGGCCTTTAATAGGACGATATTTAATCACTCCAGATTTTCCAAAATGCAATGGCACCAACCATCCCAACAAATGATCAAAAAAAGGAGAATTCACTTATAAGTATAAGCATAGAACTCGCCGAATCCAGATTAAAAAAAAAAAAAAACAAAAACAAAGAAGAAAAAGAAATTAAAAGACTGAAATTATTTTTCAAACTCAATTGATGCAAGAACTTTTGAAGCGATCTTTCCACATGATACCCATCCAGAACTCTTCAAGAAAATAATTTAATGACTCAAAAACTTCCAAAAGCAAATGAAATGTATAATATCTGCATATAACATGGGAGCTTCCATGTTGCAAACACCAATGTAATAAGCCATATTGCAAAAATAAAATAAATAAAATAGAACAAAGAGGTAGTTGCTCAGAGTATGGCACATTTATTAGGTTTTCCAGCAATAAAAATTAGGCTGTAATTTGTCAAATAACTGATCCTGACAACACAATAAGTAACTTAATAGAAATTCAGGCAGATCAACGCAGAACACATTCTTTCACTATCACTTACAGATTAAGAATTTTTTCCCCATTATTCTAACATCAAATGTATTCAGGACAAAGTGGGCCATGAGGGCACAGATTGCAGGGAATTATGCAAAACAATGAAATTTAAATTTAAATTCCTCTTCACTTATCACACTAGCAATTCAGCTCTTATTTCGCACATAAAACTCACATTTATTTGTTGTTTTGAAAGAGAACATTAATTTTCGTTTGAGTCAACACCTTGTGAGATTATATTCCTCTCCTCTTTCTCCCTTAAAACCGGCAACTAGAACCAGCAACTAATGCATAAGAAAAACAATATATTTTGAAAGCAAAAGAAAGAAAAATAAAAGTATAGAGTATGTAGCATAAAGTATGTACAATAGATGCTCAACAAGACCACCTAAATATTAACTCATTCATTATTCACAAGGAAAAGCAAACTTCTAACGAGTTTTGGTGAACTCGCACAATATTACATGGGAAATCAGAAGATTTCAGTTTCAGTTTCAGTTTCGCATGCCAAAAGCGTAGCGTTAACTTAACATCGATTATAAAAACCTTTGAAATCAATGTTCACTTAACAAGGAAAAAAAAAAAAAAAAGAATACTCGTGTATATATCTAGTGCATACGTGCAGTTATTGTTAATCAATTGACCTACCAACAAATCAATTAGTTACCTTACCAGTTTTTTCAGATACTTGCTTCGCTGCACGCAGGTCTTCACCATCAACCAATTTGTCACTCCTACCTTCTTTACTCCTTCTCTCTTTATCCTTTTCCCTATCCCTCTCTCTGTCCCTTTCCCTCTCAGCTCCGCCTTCTCTTCCCTCCTTTCGACTGCTTGATTCCCTATGCTTTCCCTCGCTCTTTCCACTACTCTTTTTCACCACCTCCTCAGTCTCAACATATGCTCCCGCACTCTCATCTCTCCTTTTACTCTTGTACTCACCCGACTTCTCCTTCAACTTCTTAGTCCCCTCCCCTCTATCGTCATTTCCACCATTCCACCTATCATTCACGCCGTCCTCAACTCTTTCTTTACGCCGCTTTGATGAAGAAAATTCCTCTATGTACTCCCCATTTGCAGAGCCAAACGAATCTCTATTGTCCTTGGGCTCTAGCTTTCGCTTCTCACCAGAGCCAGACTCCTTAGAAACCCTTGCACTACTGTCCTCTTTGGTTTTTCTGTCCTTCGAGCTCGAATCCTTCTCAGAATCTGAGTAGTCCCTAGCATCTCTTGAACTATGTTTACTCGATTTGTGGCGAGAAGTTCGCGGCATCACTGATGAATACTCAAAACCCTAATTAACAATCTGATAACTATGTTGAATGCTCGAATCGATATAGAAACCCTAATCACGAAGCAGTAAGCAAGAGTGCCAACTAAATTCGAAATCAAAACCCTAATTTCAAATCTTCAAATGCCAACTAACTAGCCGAATCTGATACTGAACCCCGATAGCAAGTTTCGATGAGTAATTCGGGGCTCGATAAATCCTACCTACAATAAATTCATGACAGTCGTGTGGCTGATAGAAGCAGTTAAAACCCTAGCCAGAGGGATTGAGTCGCCGGAGATAACAGATCAACGGGGAGCAGGAATGAGGTTGCGAGATTGGGATCGAAATTGAGGAAAAATAAAGAGGGAACCAAAAAGGAAATAGCGGACGGCGATGGTGTCTGTTAGGGATGAATGTGGAAGATCATAAAATGATGTTTTCAAGCGGCGAAGAAAATAGTGTTGGAGGCTTTTTCGATTTTGGTTGTGCGTTTGTTTATCGGTGGTAATGAGACTCGGAGACGACTTGGATATAATTTGCGTCGGTGAGACGAGATTACCCTTCATAATTTCACTTATTACGATCTTGTCTTAGGGTTGTTCTGGCTACAATAACAAAACAATCATCGTTAACTGATTGGGATGCCTTACTAGTTCCAATAAGAGTCTGACACGTCATCCGAATCAAACCTTTGAAGGGAAACAAAATTTTCCTGTGTTTACGACAACAGCAGAGAAAAAGTGGATTCACCAATGACAATTCCTCAATCCATCATTTATATGAAATCTAAAAGAATCTTTGATCTGATGAGAAGAATCTTCCATCCATTTTGTACTTCTACTAATCTTATTTGTTTTTGTCCCTACAACCGATTTTTCTCTCCACTCTATTTTTAATTAAATTATTAAGCTATTATAAATGTTTTTTTAATATCTTCCAGTTGATTCTTATTTTGTGAAATTGAATTCCTATAAATAAAAATAAATTAACAAGTTGTTAATAATAAAAATCTGTATAAATTCATGTATCATAATATCGCAACGGTAAATTTACTATAATAGTTATAAATTTATAAGTACAAGTTATTAAATATACCAAATTACAAACTATAATTTATTTTACGAAATTACTCTAATTGAAATTTTTAGCACTTTTATGTAAAAAAATGAAAAATCACCCATAAAAAATAGTATAATCTATCTATTTATTTAGCTATGATGTATATTATAAAAATGGAAATGAGTGAGAATATTGAAATTGTCAAAAATACCCTACTAAGTCTATAGATTAACAAAAATATATTAAAGATTTTAATTTAATTGGTTAAAAAATAAAAATAATTTAATTTTAATTGACCATATTAATTTCTTATATAAATCTAAATTTTATTAGATAAAATAAAAAATTATATTATATAATATGGTAAACATATAATATATTTAGAAAACTTAATTTTATTGATTAAAAAAATAAAAATAATTTAACTCGGCAAATAATTATAACATTAATTACATGCTCGTAAGCTTTAACAAAAAGTAAAAAATATATATATAAAATTATAAACGATACTCTAAAACAATGATTAATATATTAAGTATTATGCTATTTATCTATCGTATATATTCAAATTGTAATAAGTCAAGTTGAAAATGCTCTTAGATTTTAAGATAAATTGTCCATAATATTATAATTTATAATAAAAATTAATAGAAAAACATATAAAAATTAAATTACATTTACTTGACTCGGCAAATAAATTTATAACATTAATTACATGCTCGTAAGCTAACAAAAAGTAAAAATATATATATAAAATTATAAACGGATAACTCTAAAACAATGATTAATATATTAAAGTATTATGCTATTTAAATCTATTTCGTATATATTTTCAAATTGTAATAAGTTCAAGTTGAAAATGCTCTTAGATTTTAAGCATAAATGTCCATAATATTTAATATTATAATTTATAATAAAAATTAATAGAAAAACATATAAAAATTAAATTACATTTACTTGCAATTAGTAAAAATCACAAAGTATAAAATGAATATAAACAATGTATAACATGCATTCGATAAAACTATACATATAAAAGTGGAAATAAATGAGGAATATTGGAATTACTAAAAAGGTCCATACTAAATTTATGGATTAACAAAAATATTATTAAGCATTTTAATTTAATTGGTTGAACAATTAAATATAATTTTAATTTTAATTGATAATATTAATTTTTTATATAAATATAAATTTTATTAAATAAAATAAAATAAATAAAATAAAAAAACATTATCATAATATTATAATGTATATGTTAAATATTGGTAAAAATAAATACTTTAACTATTTAATTTTCTTTTCATAGGTTTAACTTGTGCACCATTTGCCTGGATTTACTTAAATTGATATATAATTTTATAATCATTTTATTTTTATTAATTGAATAAGATAACTTCTTTCGTATAAAACTTTTTAATTCAATGTAATTACTCGTTTAGAATAGTTAATTAATATTGGTTTTTGATAATTCAAATTAAGAAGAAAACTCATCAAATTGTTAGTAAAATCACATATAAATCATGTGATCTACACCGTTTCATTAATCGTGAATTGTTAGATTTTAACTTGAAAGTATTATTAGATGTTTTACACAGTTGATTTAAAAAAAAATACTTTGATAAAAATAATTATTAGATAAATAATTAAAAATAAATTAAATATAAATTTTATTAAATAAAATAAAAACATTATATAATATATAATGTATATGTTAAATATGGTAAAAATATAATATCTTTAACTATTTTAATTTTCTTTTCATAGGTTAACTTGTGCACCATCTTGCCTGGATTTCTTAAATGATATTAATTTATAAATCATTTTATTTTATTAATTGAATAAGATAACTTCTTTCGTATAAAACTTTTAATTCAATGTAATTACTCGTTTAGAAATAGTTAATTAATATTGGTTTGATAATTCAAATAAGAAGAAAACTCATCAAATTTTAGTAAAATCACATATAAATCATGTGATCTACACCGTTTCATTAATCGTGAATTGTTAGATTTTCTTTGAAAGTATTATTAGATGTTTACACAGTGATTTAAAATAAAAATACTTGATAAAAATAATTATTAGATAAATAATTAAATAAATTTTAAGCACGTATAAAATAGAAGTAATAATGAATAATTATACTATTATGAAATTTTTAATTAAATATGGATGAATTTTTTAATAAATTATACTCAAATTAACAATAAGATTTGATTTTTTCTAAATGATTTTGTTAATACTTCGATTTTATATCGAGTGAAAGGATCAAAATGTTAATGAATTAATTCTAAAAAAAATGTCAACAAATTTATAATTTAAAAATCTCATAATTAATTTTTTAAATAGAATTTTTTATATATTAATTTAACTATAATTCATCAACCAATTAATTATTTGGAAACTCACCGCTCTTCCGTATGGATAATCTTGGAATCGACGTGGCATGAAGCCATCGTGTCATTGTACGCAAAAGTGAGAATTTGTAACAGCAGACAAACCACCAGCGACCCGCAGATTTCAAGGGAGAGAAGAGGAGAGATATTTGCCGAGACCGACGTAGACACGAGCTAACCCATGGCGGAAAAGCCCCGAGCGTACTCTCTCACGCAACTGTCACACGCTCCTTTCTCTATTTACACGCTTCTATCTTCTTCTTCGCCTTCTGTCCCTCTTTTCACCATTTCCTCTTCTTGATTCTCTTCCTGTCCCTTTTTCTGTTTCTCCTTCTAAGTTCAAAACCATCTATCTGTCTCTCTATTCCTGGTAAGTCCCAATTTTCTCTAATATGTCTGGTTCGAGATTATCAAAGTTGAATTCAAGTGTTTGGATCTTATTTTTATACACCCGTTATGCTTGTTGTTAACGAAGTCAAAAGCTTCATCACCCACATAATTAATTTGATTACGGTTATCTTCCAATGTCTAGAGCTTCTGAATTGATGGCGATGCGTGGAGCTGGTTTGACCACTAGCCCGGACTGTGTTGAAGTGAAATGTTTTAGTGAAAATTTGTCGACAAGACTGATTAGGCCTAGTTCCATCATACGTGTAAAGCGCAGCTCTGCTATTTCTTATAGAAGAAGAGAATTCTGGAAAGTGAGATGCTCATTGTCGAGTAAAGCTGTGTCCCCACTGGAATCAGAAGACAATGCAAGCGATGCTTTAACGGATTCCATGGAGGAAGAATCAGGGCATGTTATTAGGTTCAAGATGTCTGATTTTAAACTACTTGATCGTATCAGTACTGGCCTTGGTGGACGGGTATGGCGAACTTTAATGTTGTTTCTCACGTTTGATTTCTGTTAAATTATTGGGCTAACTCAAATTTGTGGTGGCTCTTCTGTAATGGGATATTCATTTAGTCGGATGAGGTAGTTTATGAAGCTATAGTGAAGGATTCTAATAGGTTAGTTTTTTCTTTGTTTTGTTAATAACATATTGTTATCTATAAAATGGTGGGTTGATATATGGCTTCATGGAATTGCAGCCCTTTGTATAACACGAGAGTTGTGCTTCGACAATTTTTAAGTGCACAAGCTCAGCGCAGAGGAAAGCGAGCAATAGAGGTTTATGCGGTGTTTAAGTTTTACTTGGTAGTTTAAGGTTTCCAATCTGCTACAGTTTGTTATTTTTAAGGTGTTTTACAGGTTTTGAAGAAGCTGGTCCGTCGCAGACTTCTTTACCATTCCTATTCAATGCAAGTCCATGGTTATGTTTGTTCATCTGCATCTAGTGGCCTTGACTTGTTTACCTTGGTTCATGGGGTAGGTCATTTTCTATGTGAAGATGAAGTTATAGATGTTTTGTGTTGAGAAATCATTTAATACTTGGTACATTGGTTTGTCTGGGGTCCTCTTGTTGGAGAGTAAATATTTCACACCCTGTATTTTCTTCCTGTCTTTTTCAAAATTTTCTATATGAAGAATGTGACAGTTTAGTCAAAAGGAAATAGAAATTTGACCATTTCTTTAACTTCCTTTTCTCTTTGCAGTATCATGGAAGTTTTTCCTTAAGACATTGGCTTCAACAGTCAGATTGGCTTCCTACCCTGGAAGTTACTCTTGCATTGGATGAGGAATCTGTCAAGAGGGTGGGAGATGATACAGTTGGAGGACCGGCAGTCTCTCGCCAGTTGCGAATCATACGTATATTGATGAGGGATCTTTTGATCGGAGTATGTTTAATTCATTCCTAATTACTGCAGTTTGCATAGTGTATCCTGGCTGCCATTCAATACAACTGAGATGTTTATATTATTTCGTTCAGGTGAATTATTTGCACAGTCATGGACTAGCCCACACAGAGTTGAGGCTGGAGAATGTTCATATAAGCCCAGTTGATAGACATATTAAAGTAAGCACAGGCATTTCTTGTCCGATGTGGATATTTGGAAGTTAAATTATGTGGATCAAAATTTTAGTAGTTTATTTGGTGTGTATGGATTACTAGTGCACAAAAGATACCCTCTGAGAATAGGCCTGTGCTTCTTATGGCATCTATCAAGCTTTCTTGATGAGCAACACTATTTAGATGATCATGTATGTGCTATGATTTTTCATAGGTTACTTGAACTGGCAAGTGATATTCACTGCTGATTTTAAGATCATGTAGCCTGTCTATTTTTCATGAAAAGATTTGATGACATTGTCGAATAATAGGAAATTCAATTGTTTTTTTTGGGACATTTTAATTAAATTGTATTATATATTACTTTAGTTGTAGCCTACTCTGTAATACTTAGAAGATTTCCTTTTTTGTTAGGTAGGGATACTTGGGAATGCGGCTGACTTTTATGAGGATGGTCCAAACAGTAATTCACTGGACAACTCCATGGACCGGCGACAGATGATGATTGCATTTGATATGAGGTATTGTATCAGTACATATAAATATGTAAAATGTGTTTCAAGTTAAACACTGATAGCAGATCTCTTGAAGCTCGTTCTGTTTCTTGTGTGTTGCGAAGATGTGTTGGATTCATGATGGCAAAAATGGTGCTACGAGAACTCATGGATCCCTTAATCTTTGCAAGGTTTAAATCATTCCTCATAAAGGTATAAATAATAATCTTGCACTACCTTGTGAGCTTTTATATCATATTATGATGAACATTATTTTTTCTGGACCCTGCACAATATTTTCTGTTTTGTGATCCTCATACATTCTAGCTGATGGATGAATACTTGGGTTATACACCAAACATTTTTTTTCAATCAGAAATATTACAATAGTGTTGTTTGTCAAACGTTACCAAAATTTTCATTCATGGGCACAGGGAAATGACCCTTCATGCTTGCGGGAATTTCTATTGCAAACACTGAGTAGGAATTCTTCATCTGGTAGTGTTGGACTCCAGGTGGGTAGAGTTTCATGAACACAGGTTATGGGAGTTTCAAATGCTTATTATCTAATCTCTATAAAGCCATATTGTTATTTTTTCCTGTAGATACTCGATCGGAATTGGGGTGCAGGATGGAACCTTCTGTCCCTATTACTTGCAACCAAACCTTCAGAAAGAATAAGGTATTTCGCTTGTTTATCATTTAGAGAACAGTAAGGAATTTAATTCACAGCATTGCCAGTTTAATTATATCGACTGAATATGATATGAGATGGATGGTGCATTTGTAATGATCACTTAAATTTGTTTTTCAGTTGTTTGGATGCTCTGAGACACCCATTTTTGTGTGGACCTAGATGGCGGGTTGTCCCGTCCATGGATATCATTAGATGGGGCCTTGGTTCCACTGCAGCACGCATTTCAGAAGAATACATTTACAGCCAGCCTCAGGTATTAATTTGCCTGTGAGCAAAGTAAGGTTTATTGCCTAGAAATTTTGACTACTTCCAACCAAGGTTTGACGAAAATGGTACAAAACTACAAGTTATATGACTTGGTTGCTTTCAGATTTTGATTTGGTGCAACTGTAGTCCTAGAAGTCCACTGTATAATTTCTTCTTCTTGTCTAATTATTTACAAGCTTGTAGGAGCGCAACCATGCATCTTGACCTCCTGACGTTACAGTATTTGTGACATTTAGGAAGTACTCTGTTCTATCTTGTAAAGCATCATCTGAGATTGAACAATTTGTGTTGATTAATTCTTTACATCCTTAGGAGCCATCTTTATATTTCCATTTTTATTTTGAGCTTATAACTCCTTACAACAGGTATTTAGTGTTTGTAACTTGTAATGTAGGCTAACTTGTGACGTTTGTTTATGTGACAGCGTAATAGGCTTGCCTACTTCATTGAATTGATGGAGATGCTGAATCCTCATTCAAAGCCAAAGGTTAGTTGATTGTTTTCATCATTCAAGCATTACAAATCAATTGATTTTTTTGCTGTCATTTACAGACCACTAATTACTGTATGGCTTCCAATCATGGCTGTGATTATACTCTCAACATCGCGGAAATACTTCATTTCTGATTGTTTAATCCACGTCTATGGACAATTCATAAAAGATGGCTGAAAATTGCAATTTTTGGGCGGGTTCAGGAGGTGGGGATGGCAAAAAGAAAAAGGCTGTTTTTCACACTTATATTTTTGCTCTGTTCTGTTTCCTTATTGATCAATATTCCAGATCAATCAGTAGTCTCCCATTGGAATAAAACTTGAAAGATATTTAGTCATGAGTTAAACTTTTGAGCACAAACCACCTGGGCTCTGTTCTGTTCGAAGGTGTATTGATATCATATCAAATTTGATCTGCAGAATTGGTTGGAGTTGCTGCCAGGAAAATGGCGCTTGTTATACTGTACAGGGAGACACATAGGCTTAACCCTTCGTCAGCCTTCTGCTCGTGTCCTCATTGGAGATGCTAATCTAACTATTTCAAGAGCATCAAAGTCAGAGACTAGCCTTTCGTTTGCATCTGATGTTGGCTTCACAGTCATGGTTGGTCATGATTGGCCGCATGACAAGACTGGCGTAGTTGGGAAATTAGAAATAGACTCTGTATTCAGATTAACATCAGGGAAACGGTTATATCTCAAGAAAGAAAAGACAACTGAAAAATTCTCATTTGGAGAGTCAAGCAATTTGGATTCTCTGTTTCAGAAACAAACAGGTAGAAAATGGAGGAAAGCAATTCCTTTTAAGGAGTTCCCATCAAGCCTTCCAGTGGCCAAGCTTGTTTCAGGAGACATAGAGGTGACAATGAATCTCGGAGACCCATTAAATCAAAATGTTGTTACTGCAAGAAATATAATTCAAGAAGTTCGCACACAAATACCTCCAGAAATGTTTGATCTGTCAAAGCTTGTATGTGGGACATATGTGGACTCGAGGCTTCTAGTTCTTCGCGGGATGAATGGGTCAGCTCTGCTGTTTACAAGGTCTTGTTTTGATGAAAAAATGTAGATAAAGATAACAATTGCCGTTTTGGAAAGTGTAATAATCTGTGTTATATTGTCTGATTGTACAGTCTGTAAACAGGTTTCTTATCTGATTCAAGGTATGTAAAGCTAATTCCTTTCTGGAACAGACTGTATAGGATCGATGTTTAGTGTATCCCGTGAGATGCCTTATACCATATTTATATTTTCTTAAAGAAAAAGTGTGAAATTATAATATTTCTGTAAATTTGCACAACCATTATGTAGTCTGATTAATCAAATTCCTCATACGTCTAAAAGTGCAAACTTATGTGTCTTGGGACTGGGGGTTGGGGCGAGGACGAATCAACTTTTTGATTGAGATTAAACTTCATAGTTGAATTATTTTCTTACCTTTTTGCGAATTACATAATTTATGCATATAGATACGAAAATTATTACATGTAAATATAATCCCATCAATTTACTAACAACTCAATTATAATCTTTTTAAAATATTATAGTATAAATTTAGTGATAGTGTAAACCAAGCATTTAAAGTGATGATTTAATGTATTCATATAATAAATTGTTTTTAGAATCCGCGGCATTCATTTTTTCTTTTCCGTATGTTTACATGCAAACCCAGCCTACCAATATGCTTAATACTTACCCATTCTATCTCACAAAACTTGAATCCCAACCTCACTCGAGTGTCATACTGATGTTTGAATTATTTGGGAATTTGTTAGGCTACTCATTTAACTTTTGCAGATACACTCCACCCTCACCGATCAAAAACAAGAGTGTACACTTACCAAAGCCAAACGACAAGCGTTATAATCACGCAATATATCGTTTTGGATTGCTATAACTCTTTAAAATAGCCAAATTTGCGCTCTACATTCTAACAAAAAATAGATGGCAGTAGTAGTGAATTACATTACATAGGCAAGGCCTCGGTGGTAATTATCATGTTTAGCTACTGTATTTGGAATACATTTCTCAAAGTCGGGAAGGTTGACAGAAATCAGAGTACAAAAATCAATCCTACACTAATTGTAAACTTTAAATCAATCCCTGCCGCTGCAGATCTGTGTATGTCTTTTTGTTGTAAATATTCCCCTCCTTGTCTTCATATTCCTCCTCAAGATCGGGGCGCCACTTGTTCACTCCTTGCCGCTCCTGTATCTTTTTCCATAGTTCTTTTGCTTCCTGCAAAAATATAAAAGACGATAATCATTGAGATTCAAAGACGAAAAGAGAAAAAGTTTCAGTGCCTGGTTGCCTTCATATTTCCCAGTCATCAGACACCCATTTGCTACTCATCTTACAACTGTAAGCCCTGCAAAGGCATACCTCAATTGATGTGATCTCATTAAAGTTCTTGGTGTTTGGAATGCCAAGACAACGCATCCCATGCTGATGGCGCCACTCCTTGAAATGTCGCTCAAAAGCCCTGCGTCCCCAATAACTGTAGTTCCCACATATCTCACACTTGAATTCCTGAGCAGAAGTAAAAGAATTTGTAAATGTGAAAAGAAACCAAATAAAAGGGAAGATACCAGGCTAATAGGACAATTAAAAAGACCAGCCAGCACACAAGGCTACTACAACTAAGAGGAGTAAGATACCTGACCAAGACCATGAAGTTTATAAAGCCAGTAAGGTATAGGTTTTCCATCCCAACCCATTGGTAGCTTCAGAGGATTGTAAATTTGTTGCTCTTCATCATCACTTTCAGTGTCAGCTTGTGTCTCTTCCTACACCATGTTTTCAGACCAAGCAATTATTATCAGAAAAGGTCAGAATTCAACAATTATAAATGTTACTAAATGGAAATGACACCAACAAGAATCACATAAGGTAGAAAAGCTTCATGCTTTTTGCATCAGAAAAAGTTTCCAGAAGCAATTATGCTATGCCTATCCACTATAAGCCAGGAAGATTACTTCCTTGCCCCGAGCAAGGGAGGTATGAATTACAAGATATTATGTTAATTTCCAAATACTTACCTCCTCACGTTCTGCTTCCATTTCATCATATGTCAACGCCTGCTTCTTCACGATATTTTCTTTTGTCCGTATAATTGTCTGCAGGTGGCCACACAAAAAAAAATACAAATTTTAGTCATTATTGAGAGAGAGAGAGAGAGAGAGAAGGGGTTGGGGGGATGGGGGATCAGGGGAATCAAAGGCAAACTAGAAAATTTGCCCCATTAGCTTACCTCATCTAATACATCACAGAGTTTTCTCAATTTAGCTTCCAACAGTGCAATTTCCTTCAAATTGTCAACTTCTTTTAAGGCAGGTACGCTTCCAGTCTTTTCTGATCCACGGAAACCTTTTGCAAAATGCTTCTTGTCCAACTTTTCAAGAGGCATGTGCTGCACATGACAATAATATCATCACTATCACATTAACTTGTTAATAGGAAAATCAAGCAAAATCAAAATAAAGGCATTGAACAGTACTTTAATTTCAATTCAGGAAAAGAGACCAGCCCCAATCAAAGTATTGACTCTTTGGAAAGAAGGATTTAATTCATAATAAAATAATGTCTATGAAATGTTATATTAGATGTTTAGCAGGGATGTAATTTCAGAGCATTAAAACATAGGCCTATATTTAATCCTGAAAAACAAAAGAGAAAGGAAATTTTCTATCCACATCACCCCCCTTTTTCCCTCCCTCGTTTTGGAGGTAATTTAGCCAACACCTGAACCAGAGAGGATGACTAAGAGTTATGAAATTGGATTAGTTTCAGTTAAATTTTGCAGTTCGACGAGAAGCGTACCAGCAAGACAGATCAATATGAAATCTAAAAAAAAAAAAAAAAAACGAAAACTGTTATTATTAGATGTTTAGCAGGGATGCTAATTTTCAGGCAATTATAAACTATAGGCCCTTATATTTTAATCCTGAAAAACCAAAAAGAGAAAGTATATATTAATTCTATCCACATTCACCCCCGCTTTTCCCTCCCCTCGTTTTGGAACGGTAATTTAGCCCAACACACTGAACCTAGAGAGTGATGGACTAAGAGTTAATAAATTTGGAATTAGTTTCAGTTTAAACTTTTGCAGCTTCGACGAGAAGCGTACCAGCAAGACAGATTCAATATGAAATCTAAAAAAAAAAAAAAAAAAAAAAAAAAAACGAAAACCAGTTTCCATCCTTTTACTAGATGATTAGTGATCTAACATAGAACATTAAAAACCCACAGCATAATTGGGATATAGCAATTTAAAAAAAAATTAAATGCTTAAAATCTTTTGATGGATAAGGGAACTAGATCAACCTTAGTGAGGAAAAGCCTCTCTGCACGCTGCTGAATGGTACCACCAGTCTTTAGTCCTAATGCAGCCAGTGCCTGCCAGGAAAACAAATCAATAACAAGTAATGAACCCTTAAAATAGAAAAAAAAGCAAATCAATTTACAATCAAAGTCTACTAAATTACCAATGATTAACAGTACATGGTCTTTTACATAGAATTTTGCAAGCAACAAAGCAGATGTGGAAACAGTGAAGCAATAACATACATGAATTATCCAAGTGAAATTCCAAAGACCAATTCAATTTGACCAGTTTAAACCCAAAATAACAACAAATATGCTCACTAAATAATGTCCAAAGCATTTATGTTACATACTAAGCCAAGCATAAATGACAAGGAAACCATTATTCTTCAAACATTTTCTATTTGAGATTTTCTTCTATTCATTGTATTTCTGACTTGCATTGGGAGGTCTCTATGCTCTAAGCATGGTGGTACCAATAACATCTATAGCATTATCAAGGACAATATGAAGTATGAACAGCGTCAACAATTCAAAGAAGTTAAATCTTTTTTTCCTGGCATCAATATTAACTTACCAAAAACTGGTACAATCTTAAGACATACAACCAAGAAGAGAATTTAATACAACATAATAGGTGGAAATTATGATACAACAGCAAACAGTCATAGTTACCTCCTTTAATTTTTCAGGACCAATGTCCATCAGTTCTTCAACTGTGCTGTAATAATCAAGATCAATCACAGTAGGCTGAGCTGGAACTTGCCCATTTTCTTTACCATCCTTCTCCCATCCTTGTACTTGGTCATGTTCCCATTGCTCTTCAAATTCAGCTGTAACCTGTCACAAAATTGAAAACTATCAAACAAAGCACACAACTGAATTGAAGACAGCAAGGTGAGTTTTCACAACATGAATTTAAATATGAACTAGAAAGAATTAGCCATCACATTTACATGCATCGGCGTTTGAAAATAAATATCTTTCAGATACGTGCGCATAAAAAGTAATTCTTAAATCTAAACACAGCAGCCTGAGTTCTCAACAGTAACAAGTGTAACCTAGAATTAGCACATAAAACAGCCCCTTCCCTCCCTCCCTCGCTCCCATTTAAATTAAAACAGCATCAGTGACGAGACTATCTAGCATTTGCAAATAACAAAAGCTAGGCATATCATGAAGCAACACAAATACCAAAAAAATGATTTCAAGATTATTCCAAAAAAAAAAAAAAAAAGAAAAACAAACCTTTGAGAATATCCTGTCAAGATCTTGCAAAGGCTCTGTCCGCTGAAAGAAGTAAATCAAATACTCAAGTAGATTCTCCATATATTCCCTGTATTGCCTGCAACGAATTCAAGTAGATACTGACACCATTAAATCTTGAATGAATTAAATGGACTATAGATATGCAGGTCAGCTGAATGCCACATTGTTAACAGATACATATTTCCACTTTCAAGTTTCAAGAGAGTGAAAAAAGTACCTTGTCAATTTCAGTTTGCGAGGGATTTTTTGTGGTTGAGGAAAAATATCAAGGTAAGCAGAGTATTCAATATGCTCCCCAAACTTTGAATTAATATATTGGTTGTACAACTCATGCATGTCCAGATACTTTCCAAATGCTTCCTGAAGGATAAATCCAGACAAGTTACTGTTAACACAGATTGGAAAGCAGAGACAAAGGCTAAAGGAGAAAAAAGAGAGAAAAAAAAAAAAAAGGAAAGCATTTGCAACCTCAACTCGTATAGAAGCAAAATGAAAGAAACTGAAAGAATTAAGGACAAAACCAATTAAGTATAAGAACTGGTATTTGATAGTAACCAAAAGCGAAATGCCAACAACAAAGTCTTGAACATTTGGTAATATGCCCATTTAAGGGGTAAAAGATAAAAAAGATAAAATAAATGTCTAGAAACAGGTTTGCTACCTTAATCACCGATCCTTCAATACATTTATTAATGGAGCAAAGTGTGTCTTGAGACAAATTAAGCATTAGGTAATACAAGTTGGAGACAGACAGACAAACAGACCTCCCCAGTAAACTCGATGGCAGGCTCCTCTTTAAGCAAAGCCTCAAACTCATCATTGGCATCAACAACACGAGCAGCTGGATGCCTTCTGTGGTACTCACGAATCTACATATACAAATTGTTAGAAGAACTGTTAGAACACAAAGAGTATTCACAAGTTCGTGGTGATACTATAATTCCAAATATAAATGTCACTCAAAAAAAAAAAAAAAAAAACAAGCTAGAACAAACTTTACCTCCTTTAATCTATCATAGAACGCACTAAATACATTCGTTCCAGTTGCTGTTTGGCCCCCAAGAGCTGCAATTTCATCCTTCCTCGCACCATCCTTATCTTCGTAAATCTCAACCTGAAGCGAGCATTAGAAAACAAAACATGATTAAGCTTAAAATAACGACGATTAACAGAAAGCAAGTACCAGATTTTGGTCAATCAAGAGAAATTTCTTACGAGTTTATTCGTTGTGGAAATTATGTTTTCAATCATGTTACGAACTCGGTGGCTCTGAGAGAGCCGGTCCTTGTTCGTCGCCGGTTCATTCTGAAGATCCTTCACAATGAGCCGCTCGAGCCGCTCTACCTTCTCATGATCTGCACGAGTCACCTCCAATAGCGTCGACGACATTTCAGTTGCCTCCGCCTTTCTATTTCTCAAGAACCACTTCTAATGGCGTTTTCCACTGTAAATACAGATCAGTTAGGGTTTCTCTGTCTCAAGCTTGTAATGCAACCTCGCGAGAAGCACTGTGTGTCTATTCCAATGGAGGCTTATTAAAACTTCGAAACTAAAATCAGATAATGATATGGCTTATGACGGAACGACATCGTTTCTCTATTTAAAAAAACAAAAAAACCAACATTAAAAGGATAAATAGTAATAGTAAATAAATAAAAATAAAGTGTTTTCCGCTTTTTGGCTTCGGGGTCGGGTTCCAATGGGGTTTTCGCTTTACTTTCTCCTTCTGGGTTTAGACTTCAGAGTATTGCTAAATTGGACAGAAAAATAATGTGGAAGCTGAACCAGCTCATAGCTGGGGACGATGAAGAGAAAGGAGAGAGCTTTTTGGATGATGAATCAGAGGGCCTTTGTTCTCTTTCTCCTACACAGGTTTTAATGTTGGTAAATTTGGTTGTCCCTTTGATAATGTTTAACACAGATTAGTCCTAATCCGTTTTGTGTTTTTGTTTGAGTATCAGAGAATGTATGCATTTGCCGCGTGTTTGGTCACTGGTCTGGCTTGTATGTTTCTGGTATGGATCCTAAATCAAGTGTTTATGCCATGTATTTTATCAATTTTATTGAATATTTGAAGATTAATTCCATTGTAACAGCTTAATGGAATCTAGTGGATACAGTACTAAAATTTATCTCCTTAATTTGTTCCCCTTCAGCCTCGCGCGAATATACTTGTCTCAGAATTTTTATTCCCCTTGGCCTTTGTGACTGAATCTATAGTCCATAAAATAGTGGATTTTTTTTTTTTTTTCAGAAGCTCACAGACGGCTTCGATCTAAACCAGAAATTGACCTAATGAAGAAAAAATTCAGCATAAGCCGTGCATTTCCAATAACGAATCAATACTGCTCCTTAGCTACCTATCTAGAACAGTGTGTTTTAGCTGCCTGCAATAGGGTTGTGCATTGTACTACTTTGTTGCTGAAGTCCCTTTCAAGAACATGTTTTTCCCTGTTGATCAGGTTGCTAGTATTCTTTGATTCGAGTAACATTAGCTGTATCTAAGAAGTTTGTACTTTGTTGAGCTAACCTTTTCTTTTTGGGTTGCATATAAACTGTCTTTTCCTTTATTCTTGCTGAAAGAGTATACAAGTTCCTTTTTTTTACAAGTGTTTCTGCTAAGTGTAAACACTAATTTAGTGGAGACATAATTGTAGGAATTATGATAACGACAAAATGGAGATACTGAAGTAGGAACTAGATTGTACTTGATTATATAAATTATCTAAATTTTACATCTCGGAAGGTTTATTTGCATCAATTGGTATTGAGAATTTATAACTTTGTTCGCAAGTTGGCATAGTATGTAACTGCACTTACTTTTCTTGCAGTCATTGATTGTCTTTGCCAAGCCCATCAAATTTGCATTATTATTCACCTTTGGCAATGTGTTGGCAGTAGGAAGGTATATTAATTTTTATTTCCCTTGAATCTATCACGAGTTTGAAACCTTATATGGTTGGACAACTTGATTTTGCTGGGCTAACTGATTTTACATCTCGGAGTATCTGGTATTGTTGCTTTTTTGGGCTAACTGATTTCTTTTAATCAATTCATTTACAAATGGTCTTCATTGTTAGAATATCATTATCTTTGGTGATTTTAAGACCCTTATCCTTCATTTATCCTTGGAATAACTTAAATTGTTAAATTGTTCAAGTATATGAATTTATAAATATCTTAGTGATACATTGTTGATACATACACTAGGATAATCTGTGATTCAGATTGGCTGAATTTCTATTTTTCTCTTCCTAATTGGCAATTTGCCAGCACAGCCTTCCTCATCGGTCCTGTGCAGCAGCTGAGTATGATGTTTGATTCTGGACGCGTTTATGCAACATCAATTTACATTGGATTTGTTGTTATATCTCTTATTTGTGCTCTATGGGTAAGTTAACAACCTGGATTCATCCATGAACCAGATTTTTGTTACACTTGAAATTTTAAACAGCCTTAAGAGTTTCTTAAGGTGAAAGGTTAAAATTTGCACCAAGTATCACATCACTCATCTTTGGCTCCATGTCACTTCAGCGTTCCGTTATGCTTGCTTGTATCCATCTTTCAATTTTGCTCATTTCTCATTAAGCATGCCTTTGCCTTTAATTGTGATAATCTGATTATGGTACAAGCTGTTGTCTTCATGCTTTCTTCTTTTCATAATGCAGATCCATAGCAAGATTTTAACAGTAATTGCAATAATCTGTGAGATTTGTGCCCTTATTTGGTAAGCTTTTCTTTATCCTTCACCCAACTAACTATACTTTTTCGGAAGGCTTAACATATAATCTAGAATTACAGTCTTTTCAATATTATACTACAGTTAGTGCAAGAGATTATTTAGGCTTGATGGACAATACAGTGCTTTTTACAATTTTATAATGTATACTGTAAATATAATATTTCAGCCATCTTTTATATGGGAGAATCTTTATAATAGATTTTCTGCTTCTAAAGATGAAAATTTCTCCAAGTCTGTGTCTCGTTCTCAATGGTTGTCTATCCTGCTTATATTTTGCTGTTGGAGCCATGCAGGTATAGTCTGAGTTATATTCCTTTCGCACGGAGTATGGTGTCTAATCTGATGGTCCGATTTTGTGACACTGAGTTGTAGACCACGCATTTTTGTGGATATTGATTGGTCGGAGGCTCATAGATTTCTGGCTTTGTCTTCCTGGATTTTCCTTCTCTTTCCAAATTTCCGTTGACTTATTCTTTTTTGCTTTTCTAATTTACATGAAAGCAGCTTGTAAACTTCCCAATTGTTAAAAGACAGTGTATGGATTGTTAAATTGGGAGTGCAAAATGCAAATGAAATATAATAAAAGCACCACTTTTTTTTTTTTTACCAGGAAAATAGCATAAATGAGCTTGTGTAGGCAAATTAGGAGAACTTTGCAAGAATACTATGAAGCAGGGTTCTTGTGGTAAATGGGCCCCCTACACACGAACTTCCGTGGGTAGTTGGGCCGAAGGAACTATCTGCCATTCTTGACAAATGGACTGATGACTCCTCAATGAAAATGACTTGCAACTTTGTCTCATTGATCCTTTAAATCTTCTCTCTCTTAAATATCTGAAATAAGGACCAGAAATGTCACTTGTCGTGACCAAGAAAGGAAAATATGGCAAAAAGAAAGTGTAATAACTGTTTGGCTGAACAGAAGATGCTGAAGATGAAAACGACGTGGACCTTTGGACAACCAAATGATGGCGACGACAATTATGGCATGAACCTTACACCAAACCCCTATCCCATGCGAGTTAAAACTAAATCTAAGTGTCCAACACTCAAAATACCTTATTGGCAGCTACCTAACTTACCCCAATAAAGCAACGTGCCTCGCAGTCGCTGCCTGCTTTCTTCTTGAACAACCAAAACTTATACCCTATGTTCATGAAGCACTCGCCATTTTATAGTATCACTTACTTATCGTAAATAAAAGCAAACGATCTGTCGTTGTCTGTATCATATATGTAGACCAAGCTAGTGTTTCTAGCATTACACCCTATATAAAAACTAATGTCTAGCTCTACCGTTTTAAGTGTCTTAAAAAAATATTATTGGATTTGACAACAAATTTTGAGTCTTTAAACGAGTAAATATTATTGGCCCATGAGTAACATAATTACTTAACAATAATAAACACAATTATAGTTGTTTAATACAGTCCAACATTTTGAAATTAAGAGAAAAAAAAAAAAAGAAAGGAAGTTTGGTGTTAAAAAAAGAAAATAAACATCATAATCATTGATTGTACATGATGCCAAAACACCAAAACTCTCCTTTTTTGCAAGATTTCCCTGTGCGTGGAATCAAATTAAATAATTAATTAATTGAGATTAGTTTTGACTAATTAGGTGGTTAAAGTAAGTAAGGAACCTGTCCACCTTGAAATAAAAAAAATAATAAAAATAAAAATAAAAAAAGAAACTAGATGATTATTATATGGGCTAGTTTGAAAAATAATAGACAATTTGAGGGTTGGTGGGAAATAGTACCTCATATGACAGATCATCATTATTTAATCGAAAAGAAGTTGGTGAGAGTTGAACAGAAGCTTCAATAAATATTCACATTCATCCCCGTCAGTATTCATACCCACTCCCATCAGCTACTGATAGCCAAATCTATTCACCGGTTACCTTATCACACAACTACTCCGACCGCCGCCGCTGCCATCACCATCAGACTAATTCCGTTAGAGCCGTAGCCGTAGTGAGTATAACGAGTTTCTGACTTTTTAATAAGTATGCTTTTCAATAAATGTATTTTACGAGGATCAAACTCGTATTTTTATATTTATACCATAAAACCTATAGTTGATTTTAATAAACTTCTTCTTATAACCTTTATCGGTCATTTTTTCAATAAGATAAAGATTAGGAGCATTAATCAATTTTTTTATGTGAATTTTGGAAATTAAAATTGCCAACCCTACGCTGAAGCGCGTAAGTAGCACGCTGTCAAAAAGCAGGTGGATGATTTCATTGCCCAACGATTGAAAGAATGGATGGTTGGTGCGTGTTGTGCAGAAATTCTAACACTTGCATGGAAATATCGGTCAAGGGGTCCCTCACTTTCTCTAGCCAGCCAGCCCAGTCGCCCCTTTCAATCTTTAAAGGACTAATAAACGACTTCTCAATTAACGAAACGCTCAATCTCTCTTCCCGTTTTTTTTTTTTTTTTTAAAAAAGCAGGTGGATTTGATTTCATTGCCCAACGATTGAAAGAATGGATGGTTTGGTTTGCGTGTTGTGCAGAAATTTAACACTTGCATGCGAAATTATCGGTCAAGGAGTCCCTCACTTTCTCTAGCCAGGCCAGCCCAGTCGCCCCTTTTCAATCTTTAAAGGACTTAATTAAACGGACTTCTTCAATTAACGAAACGCTCAATCCTCTTCCCGTTTTTTTTTTTTTGCCTGTTTTTTCATTTGCTTGTTCTTCAAATCGTATACTTGTCAGTGGCGTCAAAAATGGCATCCCGTTTTTTTTTTTTTTTTGCCTGTTTTTTCATTTGCTTGTCTTCAAATCTATACTGTCAGTGGCAAAATGGCAATTCGAGATAGATGTTTATAATTTTTATTACAATGTAAATCTCAAATGATTAATTAATTTATTTTTCATTTTTAAAATTAAATCATAAGCCAGTCTAACTGCTACTTAAATAGGGAAAGGAGCAATTCTATTGACAAAAACTGATTTATTATGAAAAAACTAATCTTAAATGAATTGCCCACCTTATAAGGATCTGATCTGATTTTTGCTTCAGGTGAGAAAAGACAACCGGTCTCGTAAAGTCCACGCCGCAACTATGGCGGAGGATGACCCTCTACACCAATGTAATGACATTATTATATTTATATTTTGTTTCCTCCTGCGTCTCTTCCATGAATGGATCTCTCAACCTCTCGTCCTCGTCTACTATTAATAATATGATTTGATACCCTTTCTGTTCCGAGAAGCCGCGTCTTATTACCTCTTTTATGTTTTTAAATCGTTTTATCATAATTAATTATTTGCTTCTATTATATACACACACAAGCGGCTTTCAAATTTTAAACGAAAATATATACATATGATTTTGATATTGTATGACGGTCATGGTTTTGTTCGAAGTATAGATTCAACTTGAATTGATTTGTTTTTTTAATATATATAATCAAAGTTGTAATTCTCTTCGACCGTAAAAGTTTTTTCCTACTAATAAAGTGTGTGTGTTTATCAGGAATTTAATTTGTATCCTCATCCTTACGGGGTTGAAGTCGCTTACCACCTCAATCAACGCTTTATTAATTAAATTGATTTGATTTTAACCAAACTGAAACCTCACTATTTACAATTAAAACCAATCAATAATATATAATTTCAAGGTTATTATCATACGATGAATTTAAGTATGTCTTATTATTTGAACAACTCACTATAGATGTTTTAATGAAATTAACTTGCGTAGACTTGATTCATGATTCTACTCATAAACCAAACTAAATAAGTATTTTTTAGTGAAAATGTGATATTTTTATTGAAAATAAATAAAAATATTTTTTAAAAAGTTGATATTTTCATTTATTTTGTTGATCATGCGGCCATGGGCTCAGTTTAAAACAAATTATAATCATGGTTTAGTTATAGTTATAAGCAGTTGGCATTTGGCTAAATTGCACGTGAAACTGACCATGCAAACAAGTATTAAGATTGTGGGAATGGAAGAGGTAAAGATCCCAACTGTCATTCGTTTAGGCACAGATTGATATGTAAAAATGTCATATCATATCATATAAAGATGGAACGCATGGGTAGACATGAACATGATAGATAGTTGTGTCGTGTGTCATATTACAATGTGTCACTCTTTAAGCAAAACCAAACTCAGATTCAGTAAACATTACGTGTGTGTATATATATATATATATATATATATACCATGACCCCACATTTCAATTTGGCTTTCCATCATTCTTTAGGGACACTACCTCTTCCAATTAACTAATTCCAAAACAACCTTGCGTTTGCTAATATTGCTCATTGCGTTTCATGTCGTTTTGGTTTATTCTCATGAGAAATGTTTCTGTTTCGGTGTATAAAAAATGACAACTGAGTTAAAAGCAATTTGGCATGTTAAAAAAACATCAACATGCTGCCAAACTTTTTTTAACTAAAAATGGTCACAATCACATGCTTTCAAATGTTGATTTGTTGTCTTTGTAGATACTTAGCCAGCTAAAAAAGATTAATTAGAAACCATTCAGGTAACTACCATCCTATAACGATCACAAGACTCGAGATTTCTTATTCTCAAATTCGAATCTTCTTAATCATAAGAATTACTATTAATTTAGTGTCAAGAAAATAATTACTCTCATTATGTAGCTTGTAGTATTATTTAAGCTCCAAGTCTCATAATGAATAACAAAATTAATTAAATCATATTTGATTGATTGCTTGAATGTCCTTTTGGAGAAAATTTATAATTTGTAAAATGTGTTTAAGTAATATATTATTTGTATATCTTATGAAAAAATGGATTAATTAAAAGATTGAAATATTAAACTAATCCATTAAATTGATTTTTGAGTTTGTAGATGCAGCTAGTGGACAAATAAATTTTAACAAATTACAATTAATTATGTAATTAATTAAATACTTCATTAGCGTAATCATCGCATGACCCACGCAACTACTATAATCAATACAATAAAACCTAACAAAGCAAATTTAACACGAACTCTCAATTAAAAATTAAAAAGAAATGACACAGTTTGAGAATACGACAACGTCTGGTGTTAATAATAATATATTTAATTTTATTGCCCCAATGATCTGGTTTTATTTATTCCTTGAGCTTTGCGATTTAAAGTATTATACTGGAACTTTTTTTTTTTCTATTTGGATTAAATTAAGCTTGGTTAATTGGCCATTGTTTATAAATTAATAATTCTTAATCCTTGATAGTGGTGACATTAATATATTAATTGCGGAGCTTACAAAAAATTGTTGTTTTTATGACTTTTCTTTTTGGCAACATTTGATTTTATAATTTACTAATATTTTTTAAAGATCCCTCATTTTATTAAAATAAGAAATGTGTTTTTTTTTTTTTTTTTTTTTTTATAAGTTAATAATTCTTAAATGCTTGATGAGTGGTGACAGTTGAATTATTAATTTGGCTGGAGCTTACATAAAATGTTGTTTTGTATGACTTTTGCTTTTTGTGCATATAACCCCCCCACCAACGCAAGCTTTGATTTTATAATTTACTAATATTTTTTAAAGATCGCTCATTTTATTAAATAAGAAATGTGTTTTTTTTTTTTTTTTTTTTTTTTTTGAAAATAGATTACCTG